GTCTCACTTTCCCTTTTCCCTACTTTATTTTTAAAATGTTACTTCATTTATACCCCATCTTTTCCCCGTATAGGGACCCAAAGCAGCTGACATTGTTCTCCTCTCCTGCATTTTATCCTCACAACAACCCTATTCGGTAGGTTAGGCTGAGGGAGTATGAGTGGCCCAAGCAAGTTTCCATGGGACAGTGGGGATTCCAACCTGGGTTTCCCAGAACCTAGTCAGACACACCACTACAACCACACTTTCTCCTGAGGGGAAGAGTCCTTTAAAGAGTTGACTAAAGACAACAGGAGTCCCCAACATGGTGCCCGCCAGTGCTTTTCCTGGTGCCCCCCAAGTATTATTAGAAAGTGGGTCAGGCCAAGGGGGCTTCTGCCTTGTAGGGCTTTGGATTGCCCATTTGAGATCCGATCAGCTGTGCAGATTAAAAATAACATTTCAGTTGGTGGCTGGAGATCTCCTGCTATTACAATGGATTTCCAGGTGACAGAGATCAGTTCACCTGGAGAAAACGGCCTCTTTGGAAAATTGACTCCTCTTCTTCCCTGCACTTCAGCTTCCTCTGAGTTTGTACTTCGCTCTGCCTCCCACATGGCCATTCTGTGGTTGTGCCCATCACCTGGTGTCAGAACTCAAAAGGTGCCCATGGACTGAAAAAGGTTGGAGGACCCCTGAAATATGTGAATACATGAAGGTGCCTTACCAGCCAGATCATTGGCAACATTGGGCGATTCTGCATCTAACATTCGCTCCCCATTTTCTCAACTGGGAGGGAAAAGTGCAGCTCAAGACCACACTCAAATATTTCAGGGCAATGCCGTACTGATTGCCAAGTCACCCCTGAACAGCCATAAATCTATGCAGAAGGTACCATAAATCTATGCAGCGGCATGCAGTGTAAGGTAAAGGTAAAGGCTTCCTTTGCTCGAAAGCTAGTCGAATCCGACTCTAGGGATGCGGTGCCGAAGAACCAGCACTGTCCAAAGACATTTCCTTGGTCATGTGGCTGGCATGACTAGACGCCAAGGAGCATGGAATGCTGTTACCTTCCCACCGAAGTGGTACCTATTTATCTCCTTCAATTTCTTGCTTTCAAACTGCTAGGTTGGCAGGCGCTGGGACCAGAGGCGGGAGCTCACTCCATCACGCGGCACTCGGGTCTCGAATTGCCGAACTACCACCCTTCCGGTCTGCAGTGTCTTAACCACTTGAGCCACCGCAGGTCTGGCATGCAGTGTAGAGGGTACCATAAAACCTGATTATCAAAGAAAGTGAAAGCATGCAATGTAGAGAATTTCTGTTCCAAGGTGGGTTTTGTAAAACAGCAGATGGAAAAGCCAGTGCAGAATCAGCCATTGTCTGCACTGACTGGCAGCTGCTCTCCCAGGTCCCAAATTCTTTCACTTCACCTCCTACTACTTGGTCCGTTTTTAACAAGAGGCCCCAGGGAATGAATGCCTCACCTTCTGCATGCAACGTTGATGCTCTACAATTGATCTGGGAGCACCCCCCCCCCAAAGAAGGAGGGGGATGGCACATAGCAGCAAACCACCCCCGTGCCATGTTGAAATGGAGCTGAGCTCCCCCCTCATCCCCCATGGAGGCAGCTGGTGTCCCCATGGACAGTCCCCTCCTGCAACCACTCCACAGATTGCCCTTTGAGGGGGAGAAAAACGACTGGTTTTTTTCCCTTCAGTTTATGTCCGGCATCCTTTTCAGAATGAGCATGTCAGGTGGACCTTTCCCCTTTAACATGGAGGCTTCCTGTGCCCTGTATGGAAGTACCACAGATCTCCTGTCATTTTATTTTGTTTTTAATCGAATGCAGCTGGAGGGGAGGAAAAGACGGAAAGCCAAATAATAAAATATAAAAAGACGGACTGGGGGAGAGGAGCTGTTGAAGAGGATGCTTAACTCTTCCACATTTGCAGTTTTCCTGATATAACTCACCACTTTTAAAAGCTGGATGGGAGACCTCCAAGGAATACCAGGGCAGTGACGCAGAGGCAGGCAACAGCAAGCCACCTCTTGGAATGTCCCGTGCCTCCATGCCCCCACTAGTGGTCTCCAGAAGTCAGCCATGACTTTCAGGCACACACACACAGAGAGCTGCCTTTTCTACTTCAGAGGAAAACAGGCATCTAATCTCCTGGCTTTCCAGTGAGACTGTAAAACAAAATTATTCTGCAGATTGTTTGGGGCAGCCCAAGCCAACGGGAATACGTACAGAGGATGTTGTTAAAAGTTTATTTATTATCGTTTTAAAGTATGGGATTTCACATGGCTTTTATGACTGGACTTTTGAGCTACAACTCTGGACCCCTCCGTAGGGCAAAGAAAACTACTTGGGGCTGTTTCGGGTCACATAAACAGGGCAAGAGGTTGAAAGCTGAAGCTATTTCTCTGAATTGGAACCAGGTCCCTCACAGCTGACATGTGACTGTCTGAGAGTCAAAGCCAGGTTGGAAGAGCCCACAGACAAGCACATCAAAAATCGTAATCTTTCATTTGGTACTTGAGAGATTTACTTCAAAAGCAGTGCCTCATGCCCAGATCCCTCTTGGGAAAACAGCAGAGGGTTAGTGCTAAAGCTCCACAAGAACAAGTGCTGGGATGAGATGCTCAGTTACCCAGCTTGGGAAATTCCTGGAGATTTGGGGGTGATATCTGGGGAAGGCAGAGTTTGGGGAGAGGGGGGAGTTCAGTGTGAATGTGATGCTGTAGAGTCCACACATTTGGATTTATTTATCACACGCCTCCAAGGTGGAATTCATGGATTTCATAGAATCACAGTTGGAAGGATCACTACAAGCCATCTAGTCCAACCACCTGCTCAATGCAGGATCAGCCTAGAACAAGATCTTGGGGTACAGGTGGACTGTAAGTTAAATATGAGCAGCCAGTGTGATGTGGCAACAAAAAAGGCTAATGTGATCTCTGGGTGTATCAGCACAGGCATAACATCCAAATCACAAGATGTCATAGTCCCAATGTACACTGCATTGGTCAGGCCGCACCTGGAGTATTGTGTGCAGTTCTGGAGGCCTCACTTCAAAAAAGATGTGGGCCTGGAGACGAAGCCCTATGAGGAAAGGCTGAAGGACTTGGGAACATTTAGCCAAGAGAAGGGGAGGTTAAGGGGAGACATGATTGTTCTCTTGAAGTATGTGGACTGTCACTTAGAGGAGGGCAAGGAGCTGTTCCGGTTGGCAGCAGAGGAGAGGACTCGCAATAAGAGGGTTAAACCTGGATCTTAGGAAAAACTTTTTTACAGTAAGAGTTGTTCAACAGTGGGATCAGCCTCCTAGGGAGGTGGCGAGCTCTACCTCACTGACCGTCTTTAAGAAGTGGCTGGACAAACACTTGTCACGGATACTCTAGGATGTTGAACTAGATGGCCTGTAGGACCCCTTCCAACCTTGTGATTCTATGATCCCTGACAAGTGTTTACAAGGAAAATGAGAATGCAGAAAAGCCCTATGTATCAATTCTGAGAACAGTGCAGTGAGTCCAGTCTCAACTAGAAAAACCAGGTGAGGGTTCACAGGTTAAAGGCGATCTTCTCTTCCCATGAGGCCCTGAAATGAAAAGAGGCAGACAGAGGAAGAACAGCTTTATTGATCAGACAGGGTCTAACTTTCTCTGCTGACATTTATTGTTTTGAGGTGTTTATACTCCTTTCCCGTATTTTGTCCTCACAGCCACGTTAGGTTGAAAGGGAGTGGCCGGCCCACGTTCATTCAGGAAGGGTCCAGGGACCCTCACTTGAGGCCCAGTGCAAATGCTCCCTCTAAGCTGTGGAGCCCTGTGAGCAAAAATTCAACTTTGTCAGCTACTGGCATCAAAGTTGTAAGCAAGCGATTTGGCTACTGCATAAATTACTTTGCTCTGGAGCCATCCTTCCTGAGCCAAGACAAAAAAACGTGTGAGCTGGAGGCTAAAAAACTGTGAGCGACCTCACACTAAATCAGCTTAGAGGGAACACTGCCTAGCGCCCTCCATTCTCCAGGGAGAGGACCCTTGTCTGTCCCATTCCCTCCTTTCTCTGGATCTTTCCTGCTTTCAGCGCAGCCTGCGCAAGTCAATCGGACCTGGCGGCTCCAGGGGGGCCTTCAGGCAGCTCCTGCTCTTTCCAGGGGGCCTTCCGGGCCTTCACTCTTTAGTACGAATTCCTCCAGTCAGTCGGAGCAGCATTTTGCCTTTTGTGCGTGTGTGTCTGTGCCCGGAAATCATGGTGACCTCTGGCAACTCCTACTGGGGAATGGAGGACATTCAGAGAAGTGGCTTGATAGCCTGCCTCAGACTCTGGGTATTCTCTGGAGGTCTCCCTTCCCAATACTTGCCAGGGTTGGTCCTGCTTAGTTTCTGAGATCTGATGAGATCCGGCTTGCCTGGGCTATCCAGGTCAGGATAGCAGTCTGGATTCTTGAAGAGACCCAGAGGAGCCGCAGCCTTGGTGGAGAGAACTGGCTGATAAACGGTGGCAGGGCAGGATGGGGGGGGGGACAGAAGTGGGGTAGCAGCTCTGTCACCTTGGAGAGCATCCCTGCCTCAACTATGCATGCATTTACCAAACAACCAATAATGAATCCTTTCCAGACCCCCAGAAGCCTCGATGAGGTCTCTCTCCTCCCAAAGGGAAGCAACCCTGGTAAGTTTTGCCCCGGAACTTCTCTGCCCTTGAAAAAAGGCAGCAAATCAGCGGAGCCGTGAAATTTCTGGGAATTGAAACACCCAAACTGGACTTGAATGTAGTTTTTTTTTTAAAAAAAGGAAGTAACATTGTGCCTTTCCGATGGGTTTTTGCTTAGCGCTGAGGACCAATAAGATACTGAGCAGATCTTCCCGCCACAGAAGGGGAAGGTCTATTCATAATGAGGTGACCTTTAGTCCGACTATTGGCTGGTCACTACTTTGATGGTCACACCTGCTATCTAGCAGGGACGGAGAAGGAGGAGTTTGGGAGGAGGGAATCTTCCTCCCTTTGTTCGGGAGTTGTTAGAAGACACCACGCTTGAAAATGCTGTAGGTTAGCGAGTTCGGCTGTTCTTTATTTTCTCTTTTCCTTCCATGTAATCCATTCCCTGGTTCTTCTAGTAAAGTTGTTCTTAGAACTCAGCGCACCCGCCCCTGCATTTATTGTCTTTTTGTTGCTATACAAATACTCTGCGCGGCAAGTCAGCCGAGACATCAGGAAAGGGAAACACCGGAACTCGGCTTGAAAGCAGTGAAAACGAAAGTAACCTCGCGGCTTTCACTGTGGTGGGTAAGGCGGCCATGGCCAGCGGGGGTCCCGTCCGAGAGCTCTGCGAGGAAGTCACCTGTCCCATCTGCCTGGAGTACTTCAGGGATCCGGCCACGATCGCCGAGTGCGGCCACAACTTCTGCAGGGCCTGCCTGACCCGCAGCTGGGGGGAGGCGGCGGAGGCTTCCTGCCCGATGTGCAAACAAACCGCCCAGCCGAGGAACCTCCGGGCGAATCGGCAGCTGGCAAATGTTGTCGAAATAGCGAAAAAACTCAGTCTCCAGGGGGAAGAAGCCGAGGAGAGAATCTGCGAGAAACACCGGGAGCCCCTGAAACATTTCTGCAAAACAGATAAGATGCTCATTTGTAGGGTCTGTGACAGATCCAAGGAGCACAAAAACCATGTGGTGACTCCTGCCGAGAAGGCTTCCCAGAAATACAAGGTAGGGAACTGTGGGTATATCTTGATGTTTCTCTGTAGATTTCCTCCTCTAAGCTCCTGTGCTTCAACTAGGATGGTTACCCTTTCCCTTGAGTAACCAGCCCGTGTCCCATGTGCTGTCTTAGCAGCTCGCTGAAAGCAAAATAATGGGGGAGGGAGCAAGTGAAAACAGCAACAATACAAACGGGATTGCTGAAGAAGGCCTCCCAAATATCCATATTAATGAGCACTGTTGCATTTAGGCTTTATTGATATCAAACGCTGGATAGATTTAGAACAAACAAGTGGGAACCCTCCCCCCTCTACCACTCTTTCCTCTTTCCTGGAAGCTCCCATAGTCTCTCCCCTTTTCATGCTTTCTGCTCTACTTCTAAGGTTGCCAATCCCTGGGTGGGGACTGGAGATCTCCTGGGATCACAACAGATCTCCCAACTACAGAGATTAGTTCCCCTTAGGGTTGGCAGACTGAGGCTGGCAATGTTGTGGATATAGTGTATCTAGATTTCAGTAAAGCATTTGACAAAGTTTCTCATGATATCCTTGAGGATAAGCTGATTAAGTGTGGGCTGGATGGTGCAACCGCTGGATGGATTCATGGTTGGTTGAAAAATCGTACCCAAGGAGTGCTCCTAAATGGCTCTGCATCTACATGGAGGGAAGTCTCGAGTGGAATGCCGCAGGGCTCGGTCCTAGGCCCAGTGTTGTTCAATGTTTTTATAAATGACCTGGAGGAAGACACAGAGGGGATGCTTATCAGATGACACGAAGCTAGATGGGATCGCTAATTCTGAAGAAGATAGAGCCAGGATTCAAAACGATCTAGATAGGCTGGAACAGTGGGCTGAGACAAATAAAATGAATTTCAATAGAGGTAAGTGCAAAGTCCTATACTTAGGTACAAAAAAAATCAAAGGCACAGATATAGAATGGGAGGGACTTGGCTTGACAGCAGCACATGTGAAAGGGATCTAGGTGTTCTGGTTGATCACAAGCTAAACATGAGCCTGCAGTGCGATGCGGTTGTGAAGAAAGCTAATGCAATCTTAGGATGCATTAACAGAAGCATTGTGACCAGATCAAGGGAGGTGGTAGTTCCACTCTATGGTCAGGCCTCACCTGGAGTACTGTGTCCAGTTTTGGGCATCACATTTTAGGAAGGATGTTGACAAGCTCAAGCGTGTCCAGAAGAGGAGAACCAGGATGGTGAGAGGGTTGGAATCCAAGTCTTATGAGGAATGGCTGAAAGAGTTGGGTATGTTTAGCCTGAGAAAGAGAAGGCTTGGAGGGGACATGATTGCAGTCTTCAAATATTTGAAGGGCTGTCATGTAGAAGATGGAGCAGATCTATTCTCTCTTGCTCCGGGTTGCAAGACTAGATCTTTTAAAAAAAAATCTTTTTATTGATTTTCAAAAAGAAATAACCAAACATTCATACATTATTTTCACATCTCAGGAAAACAGAAGACAACAAACAGGAAAGAAGAAATTAAGATATGGTTAATGAATGACACTGTCTAACCATCTCATCCTTTGCCGTCCCCGTCTTCTTTGACCTTCAATCTTTCCCAGCATCAGGGTCTTCTCCAGTGAGTGCTCCCTTCTCATTTGGTGGCCAAAGTATTTGAGCTTCAGTTTCATTATCTGGCCTTCCAGGGAACAGTCAGGGTTGATTTCTTTGAGGATTGACTGATTTGTTCTTCTTGCAGTCCAAGGGACTCTCAAGAGTCTTCTCCAGCACCATAGTTCAAAAGAATCTATTCTTCGGCGCTCGGCCTTCCTTATAGTCCAGCTCTCGCAGCCATACATGACTACTGGGAATACCATTGCTTTGACCATGCGGACTTTTGTTGGCAGGGTGATGTCTCTACTTTTTATCATGCTGTTTAGGTTCGCCATCGCTTTCCTCCCAAGGAGCAGGCGTCTTTTAATTTCATGGCTGCAGTCACAGTCTGCGGTGATCTGGGATCCCAGGAACGTGAAGTCTGTCACTACTTCCACGACTTCCCCTTCTATTTGCCAAGGAGTGATGGGGCCGGATGCCATGATCTTAGTTTTTTTGATGTTGAGCTTCAAGCCCACTTTTGCGCTCTCCTCTTTTACTCTGAGCAAGAGGCTCTTTAGATCCTTTTCACTTTCAGCCATTAGAGTGGTATCATCTGCATATCTGAGGTTGTTGATCTTTTCCCCAGCAATCTTAATTCCCGCTTGTGATTCATCCAGGCCAGCATTTCGCATGATGTACTCTGCATATATATTAAATAAGCAAGGTGACAGTATACATCCTTGTCGTACTCCTTTTCCTATGCTGAACCAATCAGTTGTTCCGTATCCGGTTCTAACTGTCGCTTCTTGGCCCTTATACAGGTTTCTCAAGAGACATGTGAGGTGGTCTGGTACTCCCATCTCTTTAAGGACCTGCCATAGTTTGTTGTGATCCACACAGTCAAAGGCTTTAGCATAGTCAATGAAGCAGAAGTAGATATTTTTCTGGTACTCTCTTGCTTTCTCCATAATCCAGCGAATGTTGGCAATATGATCTCTCGTTCCTCTACCTCTTCGAAACCCAGCTTGTACTTCTGGTAGTTCTCTATCCACGTACTGTTGAAGCCTAGCTTGTAGGATCTTGAGCATGACCTTGCTAGCGTGTGATATGAGTGCAATTGTGCGATAGTTTGAACATTCCTTGGCATTGCCCTTCTTTGGGATTGGAATGTATACTGATCTTTTCCAATCCTGTGGCCACTGTTGCGTTTTCCAAATTTGCTGGCAAATGGAGTGCAGAACTTTAACAGCATCATCTTCTAAGACTTTGAATAGCTCAGCTGGAATACCATCACCTCCACTAGCTTTGTTGTTAGTAATGCTTTCTAAGGCCCATTTAACTTCACATTCCAGGATGTCTGGCTCAAGGTCAGTGATTATACCGTCGTGTTTGTCAAGGACATTGAGGTCTTTCTTGTATAGTTCTTCTGTGTATTCTTGCCATCTTTTCCTAATCTCTTCTGCTTCTGTTAGGTCCCTACCGTTTTTGTCCTTTATCATGGCCAGCTTTGCATGGAACGCTCCCTTGATTTCTCCAATTTTCTTGAAGAGATCTCTAGTCCTTCCCATTCTATTGTTTTCTTCTATTACTTTGCACTGTTCATTCAGGAAGGCCTCCTTATCTCTCCTTGCTGTTCTCTGGAAATCTGCGTTCAGTTGGGTAAATCTTTCCTTTTCGCCTTTGCCTTTCGCTTTCCTTCTTTCCTCTGCTATTTGTAAAGCCTCATCAGAAAGCCATTTTGCTTTCTTGCATTTCTTTTTCTTTGGTATGGTGGTGATTGCTGCCTCCTGTACGATGTCACGAACCTCTGTCCATAGTTCTTCAGGCACTCTATCTATCAAATCCAGACCCTTGAATCTATTCTTCACCTCTACTGTATATTCATCAGGGATGTGATCTAGGTCAAACCTGAATGGCCTCATGGTTTTCCCGATTTTCTTCAGTTTAAGTCTGAATTTTGCAATGAGTAGCTCATGATCTGAACCACAGTCAGCTCCAGGTCTTGTTTTTACTGACTGGATAGAGCTTCTCCATCTTTGACTGCAAATTATATAGTCAATCTGATTTCGGTGTTGCCCATCTGGTGATGTCCATGTGTAGAGTCGCCTCTTAGGTTGTTGGAAAAGGGTGTTCGCTATGACCAGTGTGTTCTCTTGACAAAACTCTGTTAACCTTTGCCCTGCTTCATTTTGCTTTCCAAGGCCAAACTTGTCTGTTATTCCGGTTACCTTTTGACTTCCTACTTTAGCATTCCAGTCCCCTATGATGATGAGGACATCATTTTTTGGTGTTAGTTCTAGGAGGTGTTGTAGGTCTTCATAGAACCGGTCCACTTCAGCCTCTTCTGCATCAGTGGTTGGGGCATAGACTTGGATTACTGTGATGTTGAATGGTTTGCCTTGGAATCGGACAGAAATCATTCTGTCATTTTTGAGATTGTATCCCAGTACTGCCTTTTGCACTCTCTTGTTGACTATAAAGGCCACACCATTTTTTCTACGAGATTCCTGGCCACAGTGGTAGATATAATGGTCTTCTGAGTTAAATTCGCCCATTCCTGTCCACTTTAGTTCACTGATTCCTAAGATATCGATGTTCAGTCTTGCCATCTCATTTTTGACCACGTCAAGCTTACCTTGATTCATAGATCTTACATTCCAGGTTCCTATGCAATATTGTTCTTTGCAGCATCGGACATTCCTTTCACCATCAGACACATCCACAACTGAGCGTCCTTTCGGCTTTGGCTCAGCCGCTTCACTCTTTCTGGGGTTACTTATACTTGCCCTCTACTCTTCCTCAGTAGCATATTAGACACCGTCCAACCTGAGGGGCTCATCTTCCGGCGTCATATCTTTTAGCCTTTTGTCACTGTCCATGGGGTTTTCTTGGCAAAGATACTGGAGTGGGTTGCCATTTCCTTCTCCAGTGGATCACACTTGGTCTGAGTTCTCTGCTGTGGCCTGTCCGTCTTGGGTGGCCCTTCACGGCATAGCCCACAGCTTCATTGAACTGCTCAAGCCCCCTCACCATGACAAGGCAGTGATCCATGAGGGGGTTATTGAAAATACCTTGCTAATTAAAAATCTACCTGATTCTGACTATTTTCACCCCACGTCCAATTTAATTTTACTATTCATTCATTAGTATAATACTGCATAAATAATAACAACTCAAACAAAAGACAGAAAGAGCCATCACTTACTCCCTCTTTCACTTTTTCAATTCTAATCACTTCTAGTCACCAAAGAGGGAGCAAACAAACAGCTAAGTTACCACCTGCCGTGGAGAGAAAATTATGTCCAGAGATTCCTCCTTACATATTTTGTTGTAATCCACCCGCAATACCATATTTATAATATTCTTTATTTTATTATTTTCCCCTCTTAAATTATTTAAGAATCAGTATCTTTAAATTTTCTTTTTCTTAAGCCAATTTGTATAAAGGATGGGACTAC